AGATGGGAAGAGAATATGTGCGGGAATTCTGAGCATTTTGCTATTGAATATCGCCCAAGTCCTCTAATAGACTTTAATTGTAAGGAATTATTTGTGACAGTTCTGTGAGCACCACTCCAAAAAGTGCCTTTGTAGTGGTGCTGCGTCAGGCTTTTCAATGCTAAAAAACTCGTTCAATTTTGCTTCAACTCATTTATGTCCTACACAAGAATCGCCTTCACAGGTGAAGATGACTGGTACGGTTCTACCCAGCTGGGCAATACTTGGTTGAATCACATGGCTTCGCTTGGCAGATATAATTGTGGTCGTTGTCGCAGTCGTCAGTGAACCATGCAGATCTAAACGGTAAGTTATAGTAACCATGATGATTACAGTTTGGTTGGAAGTTAAATGTTGAAACTACGTTAAAATTTTTAGAAAGAGGCTTTATTTTTTGATTTGTTGGGATTTTTTCGGTGGTTCACCATAGGGTCTTAGCAAAGGATGTGAAAGTATCTGTTGTATATGTACCAAATTTGAAAACAGCAGAGAAAACTTACTGAAGTCCTCGGTACTGTTGCACGTAAGCGCAATTTCCCTTGCGGTAATTCGGTTGACCCGGAGCCCATTTCGTGAATCCGGCCTTGAATTATACAGCAATGGAAACATGCTGTTGTGTATCAACAAAAAGTCATTGAAGCATTATTCTGTCCTCACTACCCTCGGTATTTCATCCATCCATGTGAATATTATCAACCAAGATAAAATGCTCACGATATCGATCATCGGAAAGGTCTGTACTCGCTATGTCCACAGTTCATGAACTATGTTCTCCACTTTTTCGTGGATGGAATGCCATTGTTGTGTTCACATTGTATGGTAATCGGATGGGCGACACTCGACCATTAACTACTTCATCTGCTTCGCCCCTGCTCTTCATCGTATTAAAAAGCAATGAATGAGGACGATAAAATGTTTGGGTGTATCCTCCCATCCTTCAGCTTGCCAATCTTCATGGTCTTTGAGGAGTATTGCACCCATGTTAGTCGCCCCTGTGGTTGGGTTAGTCTTGATTGTTTCCAATGTCAGTCGCCTTTCATGCAATTTCATATATGAAAACTTACTGAGTAGCCTCCTGGCCATGTCCACTGGTTACCATCATACCGCAGTCCTAGCCAGAACTTGGTCTTGGGTGGGAAGGCTGTAATATCTTATTTCATATTCTAGTATTCTCATGACTATTTTTTAACGACTTATGGAGCCGTCAAGCAAACTTCCTTGTACATTCACTATTGCTGAAATCAGTTGGAGTGTGTCAGCGAAATATGGGTTTCGGTGCGGTGCCAGCCTCATTTACACTACTCCTTGAAGCCCGAAGCCGAAGCGACTGACGGAAAACGGTCTGACGCCGCGCCTAAATCCCCTCCCCAGCTGACGCTCCGGCTGACATCAGTAAGAACGAACGTGCTGCGACTGAGCGCTACCAACGTACGGTGTGAAGCGTTACTTCCCAATCGTGGCACCGCAAAACAAGTTGATTGCGATGAACGCTTCACTCCCGAGCGACGAGTCCAAGAGTGCCCGTGATTGCTGGTTTGTCAACCACTATCTTTCATGAGTTCTTTAAACGTGTAGATAGCTATGACCACGTATTGCTCGAAGCTCGAATTAGGGTGGTCCGCTTGAATAATTTCCCAAAATTCTAATCTTCCGATTCAACCGGCCTTCAAGCTTCTGGTACCCATCTCAGTCACCTTGTTCTGTTGCTTTGGTTTGTGTTGAAATCTATACCTTACGACTTTGGTTTCCCTTGTTCAGATAGCAGTTATTGATCGATTGTGTAGATGCGTGAACAGGGCAGGCAGGGGTACTTTTCATTCACAGATCCTTAAATCGTCTCGTGCTTGCCAAGCAGAGTTGTCCAGGATATTCTGTCATGAATTGTCGTGGGTCTACTTTGAAGCTAGTTATCTTTACCCAGGTTCACCTCATCAGTCAGTCTCTATCACAAAATTCTATTCTTACCGTACATTAAGAACGCGTCCTTCTTGGAGTCTTCATCGAGTACAAGCCTGGCGTCATTCCTTCGGAAACATGTTCGGTTGGCCAGTATCTACAAGCATCATCACTTATCGAGTGCTATTGATTGTTTAAAAGCGCTTTTCTTTCAAAGTCATGCTTGAAGCGGAATGTTCGTGGAAAGGAATAGAGGACTGCATTGTTTGTGGGCTCATGGGCTGCTTTTCTGTCTTGAAAGAGGCTCTATATATGGAGGTGTGTGGATGGAGTGCAGTGGGAGTTTTTGATCGGAACGAGGCAGTTCTGAGGCTTACGGCATCGTATACACCTGCCACTGGTAACATTTGGGTAATGGTATGGTGACAATAACCACCTTTTGTCCGACTGAGCTGTCATCTTCAGGCGGCAAAGCGAGCGGGGGGGGGGATTTGATACATTCGAAAAACCTGCGATTTTGCGAGCAGTGGTGAAGTCTTTCTGAACAAACCGCAACTATGCACTTGGTTAGCGTTGAATACTGTCTCCATATCTCACTCGCGCTATCCTGAATGCGCCGCGGGCTGAGTATGGAGATGGGTACCAGACCGGAAAAGTGGTACGTCTCTGTACCTGCGGACCCACTGGCAAGGACCGCATTCATGAAGGTGAGTGTGCAGTTTGTTTTCTAGTGACTTTGATTCGTTGATGCATACGTATGAACGCGTTATGGCGATAGGTATGGTGGGTATACTGAATGCCTGAATGAACATTTGATGCGTACTGATGCTACTTCAAGTTATTCGAGGTTAAGGGTTGAGGAACACGCTGCACCCTCTCCCCTTGGAATTACTGCCTTGGATCCTGAAGCACCGACACTACTACCGCGAACACTTTCAAAAATACGAACCTGAATTGAAGGAATCGGAACCGGATAATAGCAACCGCCGTGTGGAGCATCCCACTTATTTGTTCTATAAGGCATCCAATTCTTTTTACAGAAGCAGTTGGCTGAAATTCATAGCTTTTCGGGCGCAAAAGCTAATTTTGCTGTCTGGTAGAGGACTCTGAAACCGCATGCATGATAAACAGAACCAAACGCGCAGTACCCGCTGTGAGTGGAGTCCGGCAAGCCATAAGCCCTCCACGCACGTCTCCCATCTCTACAGCAAGGAAGAGCAGAAGAGTATTGACTAGAAAGGTTTGATGTTGCGCGTGATTCCGCCCATGCAAACAACGAGAACTGCCCCTTGGAATCCTTATGTGCGAATTTGCAGGAAACTAGTAGATTCCTTGGTAATACTTGCGGATACATTAGAGAGATATTGAGAAGGGAATGACCACTCATAGTTGAGAGGATATTTTATAGAAGTAACGGGGCTCACCTTCGCAAAGCAGCTGACGTAACTCATCAGCACGCAGTTGTGTACCGTCCATCTTTTTATTAGTCAGACTGAAGTTTGGTGACGCCAGCGCTCGAAGCATCGGTACTGCCATTCCGTGCTCTTGTACATACTCTGCAACACTTCCTCTAGAGTATCTGATTTTGCTCCATTTTGGGAGAGTAGATTGAAACAAAATAGAACAAACAAACCGAATAATTCAACCGCCACCGCTATCCCCGTCTGCAGCACTAACGTCCATGCCAGAATGCGGCAGCGAATTACTAGAGCTGAGAGGGCACAGACAGTTAGCGCGCTTGACTATAGTTGGACGTGTAGCTGGCTATGTGGCAGCGTGGTAGGGGTATGGAGGTGGCTCCCGCATGACTAGCCTCCAGCCTTCGCCATGAATTCTTACCAGGGAAAAAGGCACGCTGCACAATATCGATGAAGCTGGGTGTACCGCACCCCTTTCATTATTAGACGTACATAGTGAGCGATTCCCACGTATCACTTACCAGTCTGGCTGTCGCGCACTACTGCGCGCATGGTTAACGTGTATTGATCACTGTCAGGATTACTGTGTTGCCCACTAACACTTGGCTTAATTCCCATGTTTCGAAATACGGCCGATTGTATTGCATTTCTCTTTTTTAATGAACATTTGCCAGTGTCGGCTGCTTATCAAAATCTGAGAACACCCACCATTTGTTGGAAATAGGACAGCCTAGCGGTTGAAAGAGATTCGATGGTAACAATATCAAAATTCTAGTGAAATTCCATCTCAGTACTTCCGCTGAGCAGCTTTCACATATCTGTCTGGTGTTTCTCTTATAATCCCTCAATGGCATACAATTTGAGCTATTACTTTTTGTCGAAATCGTGGATTTAGCGGTCGTTCCAACTACATCGCTGAAGAATAAAAACATCTTAACTCACCACGGCTTTGCCCATTGATTCTGGGCTACAAAATCTAGTTCACACAACTTGTCTCGTAAAACCAATTCCTAATTTCCGAGTTACGTGCTAGAAGCAGATCCCAGTGTTACCACAATTCCTGTTATGAATTTTTAGGGTTTCCTCTCTGAAGTAGCTAGCTGCGGTAACTTATCAGCTGTTATGACTTTTGGCCACAGCCTATAATGCTCTCATCCTGCCCTCTATTCTACTTCTTGGAACGTTCTACCATCGCTGTGGCCCGCGCAATGAAGTTGGTGACCCTCCTCTTCTAAAGCCTCCTTATGCTTTCTTATCAACTGTTATCACGGCCTGTCACCCACCAATAATGTTCCCATCCTGCCCCCTACATCACTCATTTTGAGCGCTCAGCGCTATTTTGAAGGAAGTTATGAATTTCCGGTCAAACACACATACAGACAGACAGACAGACACACACACACACACACCAACAGACAAACTTAGCGGATTATATATAGTAGGATTCTGCCGCATGGAAGGGAAGATTGTTTTTAGCTACCGCTGGCGATAACTGATACAATTTTTCGTTTCCGACATTCATTATGCGTGCATGGGTTGGCTGTAATATAGCACAAATACCGTTCCCAAAAAGCGGCAAAATTATTCGAATGTATGTACAACTGTGGCTTACCGATGGTAATAATCGCTCCACCGTCTTCACGGAACTCGCGAGCGATCTGCGTTGGGTCGTTGAATCCACCATCCCTTAACACATCTTGTTCAAACTTGTACGCACTATGCACGGTCTTTTTGCCGAAATATGGGCCACAGCCACGTTTGGCTAGAGATTAGGCTTCAAGGGACAGGTAGTGTGTCCTCAGCATGAATGTCACCTTCGTTTAGCGCTGAAATGCCTGATGTTCACACCATGGACGTGGACAGTTCACATCACGGACGTGGGCGCTAACGTACGTCAAACCGTGGTTGCTCCAAGGGAAGGGGATACTTATGATAAGCAGGTCAATATAACCCCGAGGATAAGTTTTCAGACAGTTTTGGGAAGTATTTTGTCGCCGGCGTCCGTGGCACGTCGCTTTTTTATGATAAACGAATGTGATACTCTGCCACTAATGTGGTAAACCGTACACAATTGCATTGCAGGCTTTCATCAGTACTGTGATGTAGTTGACTTTTTTCATCAGTACCGTGATGTATTTGACTTTATGACATTCAGTCATACGAACTCATGCTGATGAAAATACTCAGAAAACCGTGTACATGAAGTAAACCTTAAGAAAACAACGAACTTATAAGTGCTTCCAACGATGATGATAACTGGGCGAGCAGCACGTCGATGACTTGAAGACAAAAACTTCTTCGTCGCCATGCGAATCGCTCTAGAATCATTTAGAGTTGCTCTAAGTGGTTTGTTCGTTATTCTATCACTCTCAAAACAGTACCATAGTTCGCATTCTGTGAGCGGAAGAACGAACAATAGGTGGAAAGTCAGGGTACAGCATCGTGTTGTGTCGAATGGCTTTGATACAGCCCCCATCCCTTTTCTTCTTCAGCGTTTTTCCCGATCTGTGGTGAGGTCCGCTCTTCTTGGTTTGTGACGCCACCTCTCCCTGAATGGCTTGTCGGGATGGGTGCTAATTATCCTCGAGTCTGCATGCAAAATGTCTAGCAAGAGCTGTTAGGGCGTCTCTCCATTCGCTTTCCAGGTATCTTGAGCTGAAGACCAGTCTTATGGACAGTGTCAGAATTCGCGCGCAGCACATGACCGTACCGTCAAAGGCGACATTCACGGTGCGAACGCGGTCCATACGCCTGACGCCAGCCGTTCAGCAAGCTTTCATCTTCATCGCCCCACATGACTCAAGCCCCAGATGACTTGTGAACTTCTTCTAAATCACAAAGCGCCCAACCGCAGTGATAATTGCGGACAAACTTTTTTTCATGAAGGTTCAGGCGAGCACTAAAGCAGGTGACGCTACAACGGCTTTTGCCATGTTCCTACAAAAGTCAAAAAATTAAGCCTAGCAGGGATCCGATCCCATGACGACCTGCTTGAAAGACGCCTGAAGAAAGGCGCTATAACTGGGTTCAAAGAACAGTTCTTCAAATTTCAAAGGTAGATTTGAGATGTGCCCCAAAAACACATCCAGTGACCTAGGTCTCACTATATGGCCAGTTCGACCTGGCGAGGCTCCTTAGTTAGTTGCCCTCCCATCCCTTCATTGGAAACCCTCGCTTACTTTCCACATCCGCCGGGCTTCGCGAGTGCGCGTCGGATCCCGTGGACGCCTGTCATTACATCGAAATTAGTACGGCATCTTGAACAGGAGGGACGTGACACAGGTTTTTTACGTGAGCCCGTCACGAAAGCCTGTCACCTGCATTCGAATGTCCGTGATAAGCTGGGCTCGCACGAGCGAGTGGTTGTAGCAGTGACCAGTAGCACCGCTCGGAGTAGCGGACTTCAAGCCCATCTGTCCTACATGCCATCTCCCCAGTCAGGATATTCGCTGTTTCTAGTTTCCCAATAATTTCTCCAGTTCCCAAAAAAAGCTGACAACTAGCGGAATATTGAGAAGTTGTCGTCATTCGCCTATTAATGTCAGCTATCTGAAACAGTAGTTGTATTGTGGCTTCAGCAACCATAAAGAGTTTTACTCTCGGAAAAATTTGTACCAAGGCCAGATACCCTCTCAGCAAAGAAACGAATCTCTCATGATAGGATTTATCCAACGATGCTGTATCCTGGCGAGGAGAAGATGGGGCAAAAACAGGCACTTCGCTCATGAGACATACACCTGCAGTCAGTTCTGTGTGGAATGCCGGGTCAAATGAACCCTAGACCTTCTTGCCAAATGTTGGTACTGCAAAGCTTCAGGAATAATCAGGGTCTCGTTGGGTACTACCCCTTTCGACATAGACTTCAATGTTGAGGGAAAATGAGGAAATGGACTCCTTTCTTTTCCCTTCCTCACCCCTATTTAAAGGAATCCCTGTTCACAGTGCTTCTGATGAGTTTCTGTATTCTATTACGGCGGCTTCACTGTCGTCACGGCTTTCCTTCGGAATAAAGATGTTTTCGCGAGTCCTCTCTCATGTTCGTAGCTTTCAATGGACATTTCTCACTGACCCCTCAATGTTCGTGCCGGTTTCGTTCAGCAGTGATATGTTTAAGTCGAAGAGGTCTGCTGTTGAAGTATAAACGTTAAGGTCGGCGATAAGTTCAACACTGCTGGCATAACGAATGACTCCTAGTCGGGTTTGGAACCGCTCTGCCTGGCCAACAGTCAACTTTGTAAAAGCAGACACGATGTAGTCAGTTGCCTAAAATTCACAACACATTTTTAAAAATCTTGTACAAAATTAGGCTGTTTATACTTTGCGGCAGCGTAGCGTAGCGTAGCGCAGCGTAGCGTAGCGCTTCCAGCGTACGCCAGCGGCAGTGCCGAAGAGAGGATGCATATCGATCTAGCTTCACCAGCGTGCCGCTGGTGACGCTGGTGAAGCTAGATCGATATGCATCCTCTCTTCGGCACTGCCGCTGGCGTACGCTGGAAGCGCTACGCTACGCTGCCGCAAAGTATAAACGCAGCCTTAGGCATTGTTCGCCTCAGAGAAGGTATTCACTCAATTCATTCCGGGCAATGACACAAACGATATGATATTCTGAGACCTGAAACCATTTTCATTCCACGCGTCGCACTAGTATGGGGCAGTGACTGCAGACGGCGCACTTTTCTTGCTAATCCAGAGAATCCACTTCTCGTGAAACGATAACCCGTTTTCCCTTTCGCTTCATCCATCCCCGGAGCTCTTTACTCTTGTGCCCAAATAAGTCTTAACAGTTAAGTCCTTTGCTTTCTGGCTCATAATCGCTTACAGGCGCCTCACAAAATGGAGTGCTGTCCAACTTTTAGTTGAAACTCTTATCACTCCTCTAATCATTCGAGCTCAAACCAGATCAACCGTTCTTTATCCAGCTGTGCGAGCCGAAACTGCTCTCGTAACGTATCATATGGCTCGTAGCATTTCCGGACAGGGTTCACATGAGCGACTCGTCCTCTCCTAAGGCAAGCTACAGAAAGTGCCACGGTATAATTTAACGGACGTTGGTACAGTATGCCATATAGAGAATCTCTCTTTATGAACCTTACCGAACCGACCGTGTTATTCCTGAGAACACTATGATCATCAACAAATACAGTGATAAATGGTTGTTGTGTTGTCTGCCCTATAAAAGGGGGCGGTTGTTCATAATAAACAATTCACTTCACTTCTTCTCACCTCGCCTTCTACACCGGCCATCTACACTCCCGCCACACAAACCGCCACATCTGGTGCATCGGCCGGGAAGGACAAGGAATCAGAAGACCGTAAGAAGAGCTCAGGAGTGACGCCAAGGACAGACAAAGCTCCGTGAGTCATTTGAATGTCTCTCTCTTTAGCTAACCGCCAAGGAATCCTGAGGCGGTCAATAAATAGGCTAACCTCTCTTCTGCGAAGCACAGCAGATCTTCTCACTCTGCGCCCGGACGAAGGAGTCGGACAAGAAGATCGCCTTATGCTCAGAAAGAGGATCAGCAACGCCAAAAAAGCAATCGAACTGGAATCGGACAAGATAGAAATCGCATTGGAGAAGTACACCAATGCGGCCGACAGCCTGGAATCAGAAGAACCAGCAAGGTCGGAACTTCTACAAAGGGCCGAAACAGTTGCAGAGGAAGCGCGCATAGTCCTGGACGAAGCACAGGAAGCGCATACAACCCTGACCATACTTCAGCAAGCAATCGAGTCTTCTGAAGTACCCCATACCCCGCCTTCAACTGAAGTGCTAGAAATGAAGCTAGCTCCAATCCCCATCCCCAAATTCAGTGGCGAAATTTGGGAATGGGAAACATTCTGGAAAACGTTCGAACATACTGGTCACTCGAGAAACATCCATGACCTCTACAAACTCGATTACTTCCTTTTCCAACTGGTTTATGATCGTATCATGGTAGTGCTGCAGCACGACTTCATTTTCCAGTAAATGAA